AAACCAACATTTGCGCGCCCGTGAAGACGTCGCGCAAAGGTCGTGCAAACATACTGCCTACAATCTGAATTTCGACTCCATTTGTGCGCCTTCTGACAGGGCTGCGTGGCCGCGAAGCTCCAATAAAATTGGAGCTTAATTGAGGCTTGATTGTTTGCAAATGGTGAGAGTGGTGTCCGGAATTCGTTGCTGGTGTAGCTGTGAATTGGTGGTTATCATTGTGGTGTGCGTGTGGTGAAGAGTGGCTGAAGTTGGAGGTTGCTGGTGGCTACTCTGTTGACGATGGTGCACGTGGCGCTGAGAACTGCGTGAGGTAGCAGAGGCTGCTGGTGGTTGTTTCCGTTGCTAGAGATGGTTGTTGGCAGTTTTGTGGTTGTTGGGTAAGTGGTAATTGATGGCTGGAGATGTTGGGTTTTGGTTTGCGTGGGCAGCGTTGCTGCTGGGAACGGCTTTTATTGGTGGCTGACGGTGGTTCTGGGTGTGGGGTGAGTTGCGTTGCTGTTGTTGTTATTGGGTGGATGGTGGTCGAAGGGGGTTGTGGGCTGCTGAGCATGGCTGATGGTTGTTGCTGGCGGTTATGGCGGGCAGCGTTGTTGCTGTTGGTGCTGTCGGTGTTGTGTTTGTTGTTGTTGCAGTTGGTGGTGTTGAGGAAAGCAGGGAGCAGGGGAGATAAGTGTGTGAATGGTGTGGTGGAGGATAAGTGTCCGTAGGGTGAAGGTTAAGGGGCAGCAACTACGATGATTGGAAGCTTCTTGGATTGAAACCTTTGACTCGAACCTCCGACCTCCGAACACGAATATGACTTTAAAACCCGGAACATCTACAACCAAAAACACGAGGGTATTACCATGAGATAAAATAAAATAAAATACAGTTAAAATAAAATAACTTAAAAATAAAATCAAAAGAAATTAAATAAAATAAAGAAACAAATATGAAAATAAAATAAAATAAGAAAATGAGAGAAACTAGGAATTATTAACTAAAAATACGAAAATAAACTATAAACTATTAAAAACTACAAAAATACTCAAAATAAAGATAAAGACGAGAATAAGCAAATAAAAGAACTAAAGGACAAAATGGGCTAAATTATTAGAAAATAAGCCGGAAAATGACACAATAAACACCCTAAAAGTGACATAAAAGTCACTTATCACTACATAGGGAATAAGAGCCTATGACAACACTCACCGCCAAGCTGTTAGGACTATCACCATGAATGTAATGACAGGAGTTATAGAACATGCTACTACTTTTCAAGTGGTAGACATCAAAGCATCTTTCAACTTATTGTTGGGACGCCCTAAGCTTCACGACCTAAATGTCGTCCTTTCATCAGCAATTAAAGGCTATTGTTAAAGGTATCCCTGTCACAATTGATGCTTCACCAATGAGAATCAAGGCTATAGAGAATCCTATCATAAATGTGGAGCACGATGAAGATGACGAAGACTTGTGGGGCTTTAACGAAGAGGTCTCCTTAATTGAGGAGGATGAAAGGACCCCTCATCACTACGACCTCCACTCTAACATGACAGTAAACGCTATCCTCCGAAAACAGGGGCACTTTCCTGGAATGACTCTTGGAAAGAAGAAAGGGATAGCAAAGCAAATGGGACTACCTTGCCTCCTTAAATAGGATACTTTTGGGCTTGGTTTTGAATCGACTCCAGAAGACCTTAAGCGAGCCCAGGAAAAAGTAAATGTGCGTAGGAACGCTCTTACCCAAAAGAAGAAATTCCAATGGATCATTATCCTCTTACCCTAAATGGACAATTCATAAAAGAGGGAGAGGATTATCCATGCTATGAATTTCCTGAATTCTTTTTCAAGAATGGGATAAGACAACCTGGGTTTGAAATATTTTTGGATTGTAACTTTCTAGGTGATGTTCCAACTTTTATCCATAATGAGAAAGCACCCTTATGCTTTGATTTTAATGTCATGGGACTTCTCTTTAGGTATGAGAAGAATGAGCCAAATTATATCGAGGACAATTCCTTGCTCATTCAAATGGTATTACAGAGTGATAACTTTGATCCTTCCAAACTTATCACTATAGCAGAGGGTTTAGTTCAAGGATGGTAAAAGACCGTGAAGGTGACTAATTCAAGTGTAAGAAAGATCTCCATAACAACATAACAAGGACCGATGGTCGAAGAATCATCTGAGTCAGAGTCTTCACCTATCGAAACTTTTAAGTCCTTAGTTATAACACCCTCTCCTAGTTCTTCTATTTTAGCACCTTCTCCTAGAATAGTTAGTAATCAAGTCCCAACGAACGTAACTTTCTTTGATGATGGTTTCTGAATTCAATAACTTGTCCTCTTTTGCTTACTCCTCGTGTCATTCTTTAACCCAAGATGATGAATATTGCTTAACTAGAAATGAAAGTGACAAATAAATAGTTAAAGCAATGGAAAAACTTGAAAACAAAACACCGATAATTGAGGATACTAAAACGGTTGACATCTCAAAAGATCCAACCATTAAAAGAGAAGTTAAAATCAGACTAACACTTAATAAAGATGAATGAACCGATTTTATTAATCTATTAAAAGAATTTATCGATGTATTCGCTTGGTCATATGAAGATATGCCCAGAATTAATAAAGAAATAGCCTAACACACAATTCCACTAATTCCAGGAATGAAACCTGTAAAACAAAAGTTACATCGAATGAAGCCTTACGTAGCTTTTAAAATAAAAGAAAAATACAAAAAAAAATAACAGCAGGTTTTATCAGGGTATCCAAATACCCTAAAATGGGTCGCAAATGTAGTCCTAGTTCCGAAGAAGGATGGAAGGGTACGAATGTGTCTCGACTATCGAGATCTAAATAAGGCAAGTCCAAAGGACGACTTCCCTTTACCACACATCGATATTCTAGTAGATAATACAATAATCCATACATTTCTCTCATTTATGGATGGATACGCATGGTATAATCAGATTCCCATGGCAAAAGAAGACAAGGAGAAGAAAACATTCATAAAACCATCGGGCAATTACTCTTACACGTTGATGCCATTCGGGTTGAAAAACGTGGGTGCCACTTACCAACGAGCAGCAACTTCTTTAACCCATAACATGTGAAAGGAATGGTGTCCTTCGAACAAGTGTACTATTCCGTTAGTGGGTTCAGAATTATTAGAAAGCTAATATATTCAGTGAGGTCAAGTGATCAGAATGCCTGGGTGGAGGCTGCTTCCGATCAGTAACATTAATGAATAATTAATATTACAGCTTAATCTTGATTGAACCCTTCGGGTAACACCCAAGCATTCAACAAACCGAACCGATGAATTAATTCGGAAGGAATTAATGAGTCGACCGAGTAATATTTATTTTGACGTCGGAAATTCGAGCTTAGAGCGTCGAAACCGAGCTTCGGAAGTCGAGTCGAAAAATAGTGAAAGACGAGACGAGAAATAGTAATAAATCAACAAAAGACCAAAATACCCCTAGCATAGGAATGCCCAAGCAAACCGAGTGCTAAGGGCGTATGGCCTAGCATGCGCACCAAGCCGAGCCTAGGCTGGCTGGTGCGTGCTAGCGCACCCATGCTAGCATCGCAAGGCTAAGCGCTACCTAGTGCGTGCTAGCATGCAAGGCACAGCCTTATGCGCGCAAAGGCTAGCAAGCCATCCTGGAACAAGCTGCAGCAGCTAGCACGCTGTGTGCGCCAGCTCGCCACAGCTAGCAGCAGCATGGCTAGGCCATTGCTTGCTGCCTAGCAGCGCTGGCCAAGGCACAAGGCCAGCAGCAGCCCGCACAAGCATGCTGGGCTTGCTGGCCAGCAGCGCCTGGCAGCCCGCATGCGAGTGATGGGCCTGCTGGGCGTGGCTGCCACGGACAGCAGCACATGGCAGCTCACCTTGGCTGCCTTGGTGCCCAAGGGTGGGTGCCATGTGGCTAGTGGTCCTTGAGTGTGTGTGAAGTGAGGTGGCCGGTTATGGGAGAGGGAGTGGGGAGCAAGTTTGGTCCCCCCCTTCTCCAAGTGGTCCTCACCTAACCACTCACATGAGCTTGTCACTTGTTGATTTATTACTAGCTTTATTTCGGGGTTTTTGTCCCTCAGGAGAGTTACAACACTGAAACTGGATTCAATTGAGGCCGCCTGTACCTGCAAAGCAAACGGACCTCCGGATGGTTGGGGGTCCGCCTCCGAAGATTAAGTCAGCAAATGTTCGGAAATAAAACGTGCGGAAGTAAAGTTATCTGCTTGGATTCCAAGCTCAGATAAAGTGAGATAAGTGACGTATTTTCTCGTATTGCATGTCAAAAATTCTCTCTCTGTCATAAATGACATAATGTCCCTATTTATAGGGTCCTTTTGAAAAGTGTGCCTTCCTAGGATCTGGTGACCTAGTAATCAGGTCACGCCGTTTTGCGGTGCCTCGGGATTTGGGCCTTAGAAGGCCGTCATCCCAGGGCCAATGCTTGAGTGATACGTGTCACTGTGCCCAAAGGATTTTGAAGCACTTTTTGTGTGACACGTGTCGCCACCTGAATGGTCCCTGTTGGACCTTCAGTCCACGTAGGACGGAGAAGAGTCCACCCTCCATAGGTCCAAATGGCACCTATACGGAGGACATGTGGCAGTTTCTGATTGGGCCACCTGGCCGGGTATAAAATACCCAAATCATTTGCCCCTCACAGGAGTCACGTGCATTGCACGTGACTCCTGTGACAGGTGTCAGTATCTGAGTGGTCAGATTCAAAAATTTACTAGAGGGATAAAATTAGGGTTTTACCCCCCTATAAATAGTAAGGTTTGACCCCCCCCTCTTGGATTCACACCTTGGCGAATCTCTGGAGAATCTTGGACTTTTTGACTTAAAGAATCTCAAAATTCCCTAAGCGTTTTTCAAGCATCCGACACTCGGCTACCATTTCGACCGTTCTTTAGTCAACCAGGCGTCTTTCTCCCTTCTTCTAATGGTAACACCTGTATTTTCTTTTTACTCTTCATTTTTTCTTTGTTTTCGAAAAAATGGCTCCCCAATTGCATGCGGCACAGTGTAGGATAGTGATCAGCCGGTCACCGGGGACGGCTGAATCTAGAACTAGCAGTGCCGAATGCTTGGCCAAAGACCCTGCTTTGCGAACTTCTCCGAATCCGACCGTTTCCGTGTCTGTGCAGGACACTATGGCCAGAATCAAAAGAACAGCAAGGCAGTGTAGCTCCGATGGAGTTTTCTACCATTTGGATGGGTCGACTGTTTTTTCAGACGGCTCAATAAGAGTGCCTCGAAGTGAGCTGTCGAAACACCCTGACAGCCATTCCTATCTTCCTCCTACCCTCACTTATTACCATTCGCCCACATCTAGTGGAACTCCCAGTGATGGAATCCTGGGGGAGGCGGATGAAGAATATCAACCTAGGCCTTCTGGACAGGCGCCGGGAGAGAGTCTAGGGGAGGACCCCGCTGGCACCAGTCGGCGGTCCCCTAGCTCTGATAAGAGCTCTGATGACGAGTCGGCCTCGTCATCTTCTTCAGAGAATGCCTCTGTAACTTCAGAGGAGGCTAGATCAAACATAGATTCTGCTAGAGAGTCCCTAGCAGTGGATAGGGGGGAAAGTTGGGCCGAGCCGAGTGCTTCCAGGCGCTTGGAGAGAGCCCCCTACTATCAGCATGTTCCGCCAGGCAGGCGGAGCGCCATGGCATCCGGCCTTGCCAATTTTAGGCGCAAGGTTGTCCTAGGCTATGGCTACACTTTGTCTGTCCCTAACGAGGGCGACACCATAACCTGGCCGAGCCTGGCCAGCTATCAAGACAAAGCATTCGGCTGCTATGAAGCGGCCTTCCAGGCTGGCCTCCGCTTCCCTCTCCATCCGGCCGTGGAGAGGATCTTGGACGGATACCAACTGGGTATCTGGCAACTTGTACCCAACTCCTGGATCAATATTCTGGGGTACGTTGCCGCCTGTGAGATGCTGCAGGTGGAGGCGAGCTTTGAAGCGTTCGCCCACATGCACTATCTGAGCAGGGCGCTTGCTAGGGGCGGTGAAGGCTGGTACACCTTGACCACTTGCAAAGGGTACATGATGGCTATTGGCAAAGAGAACAAGTGGAAAGACTGGAGGACTAAGTTTTACATAGTCAAGTCTGCCGACAGCCGCCTGAACCAAAAGTATAACAGGTGGAATAAGGATCCACCTCTCCTAGCAGGCAGGAGCGCATTGCCGCCTATTCCCAGGCGGGCAAAGGAGGAGATCATGGACGCGGGGTTGTTTACCGTGTCCGTGTGGACGAATGATGAGGGGGACAAGGAGGTCACCCCTCAATGCTATCTCCCTTTGTACAAGTGGTTTGAAGAAGGGACATTCTTAGTCGCCTGTGGGCTAAGTTCTGAGATGCCGAGAGGTAGTCGGCCGTCTGTTTTATATGCAATTTACTTTTGCTTTTCAGTACTTGTTTAATGATGCTAATCACTTGTTCATTTTTGCAGACAAAGTAATGGAAAAGCTCTCGGCCACAAGGAAGCCGGTTGTATCTGCTGCTCGATACAGGTTGAATGTCCTAAACAGGGCAGAAGTACCCACTCACACCAAAGTGGACGAGCAGAAAACTGGTGGCACCTCCAAGCTAGAAAATTGTTATACTTTCATTTCTGACCAATATTAAATCTGCCCGAATGATTTCTAACATGCGTTTATCTTGTGTTGATGTAGGGTGCGCCTTCCAAATCTCCTTCAAAACCATTCGACCCTAAAATCCAAAAGACTAGGGCGGGTGATGTGAGCGCATCCGGCAAGGGCGGCCGGAAGCACATTGCTCATAGGCCCAAGAAGGGCCCAGACGCCTCTTCTCTCGAAGCTGAAAAGGAGATCAGCAAACCGGATGCCCAGAGGGCATTGAAGGGTGGCTTTAAGCAACCCACCACTGTTGTCGGCTCAACAAGAGAGAAGAGGAGCCTGGGGGGAGAGGAGGAACAGAAGGACAACGGTAAAATCCATTCGCCTCTATTGTTCTTCCATTTAGATGTACTTGAGTTATTTTTCTAACTTTCTCTCCTTCTCAGTTCCTGTGCAGAGGCCGACTGTAGTCCAGATGGCCAAGTCCATGCTGAGGGCGGTTGATCCTGACGACAAGGCGTCTATCAGAGGAGTCGGCACCCTTGACTTGGATGGCATCTTGGGGAACCTCTGCGAGGTATGAGTCTTAGCTCAAGCAAAATTTTTTATTTTTTTTTACTAAGTATTATTTCTTTTTCCGCCTGGTTTTAACCATTCAGCTCTTTTGCACGCCATGCTGCGCGTCCAAGGGCTCAGGCAACCCCTCAAGGAGAAATCCAAAGAGGTAACAGTCGCTAAAGCTCGGGCCGAGTCCGCCTTGGATCGAGCTCAATTTGATATTGCTCAGAATGAGTATCTGACGCTTGATATGATGTATTCGTAGGTGGAAGCCAATATGCAGGTGAAGAAGGACCTGGACTCGGCCCGCCTGCGCATCACTTCCCTTAAGAAAAAGATTACAACTCTTAAGGAGAAGCTCGAGCCTCTTCAAGATGCCAAAGAAGAGGCCGAGAGAGCCAAGCAGAAGGTGGGCCGCCTGGAGCAGCGCCTCAGCAACCACGAGCATCAGCTGAAGTCCAAGTTTGAGTCCGTGGCTGATCAAGAGAGAGAGTCTCTTGTTAAGCAAATGATGAGCGATTATGAAGCCATCATGCGGGACACTTGGGCGGCTGTACAGCCGGACTCGGACTATCAGATTTGGAAATCCAAATTTGACGAAGCCAGCAAAGCATACGACGCTCGCCTTATTGAAGAGGCTGAGAATGCTGAGGCCGAGGAAAGTTCTGGGTCCGACTCTTCTAGGGAGTCGTCCTCTGGTGGCGAGGAGGAGGATCAGGCGGAGGAGCAAGAGAAAAAGGATGAAGAGCAGCCGAAGGATGACAGGCCGGTTGCCACTAAAGAGGCTCTCCCCTGATCACTTAAGCTTTTATGCTTTTCTGCGGCCGAATGGCCATGTACTTTTCTTTTCCGGCCTGCTTGCCGAGTATTTGTATCTTTACCGACCGAGGGGTCGGGTAATTTGACAATCTTTCTGGCTTTGCCAGATAACAATTTTAACCAATCTTCTGGTGACGATTGGTCTTTTTAATTTGAATCATTCGGCCATTTGGCTGAAGTTATCCATATTGTTGTCCTTTGCTTTTTGAATTTTTCATTTCATGTTTTTGGCTAAGTATTATAACCTATATACCATGCGAATGTTTTTGCCCCTGGACGGATGTCGAGTGGTTTCGATTTATTGGATTGATTGGCTTAGAAATTTTTGATACTTAGAAGAGTATGCATGGTTTCTAAGTCAATCAATCACTATGGTGATTGCCCCACACCACGCGGCAGACGTCCATCCAGAATTGGCAAACATAAAGTGTTCATTCGTCCATTGGCTCGAACTAACTCAAATTTCCAACTTAGCTAATTTGCTAAGGGTAAACCTCCGCCTGTTCTACCCCATAAGCAAAAACAAGCGCCTCCGGCCATAGGCCTCTTTGAGATAAAATGCTAAGTTTGTGCCCCTGAGCAATAACAGGCGCATCCGGCTTTATACCTTGCTTAGCCTCTACTTATGAAACAGTGACCATTTCTGAACTGTGCTAGATAGAAAATTCAGGTCTTTTAGATTTCACTTTCGATTAAAACAAACGACTGCGAATGCTGCCTTAGCATTCGGTAGGGCCGCTTGATATATTCGTAGAGCAATGTTCCACCCAAATGGGAGATGCTTCTCCTCGACGAATTCGCCCAAATGGACGTCGCCGGTTATCTGACTCATGTTGGAGCAGACGGTCATACTCATGTTGGAGCAGACTGTGACCATTCGGTCTCTTTTTGTTTATTAACATCCGGCCATGGGCCTCATCATGATTTTATCTGGCCTTAGGCCTCTTAAATGATTAAGTAAATATTTGTCAAGTGTTGGTGTAAACTTGATGAATTTTGTAGGAACGACTGTTCTAGAACAATCGGTTCCTTCAGAAGGATTGGAGCGTCTGCTGTTGAGACAAACGCTCTACAAACGTATTGGCCGTCTGTATTGTATACAGGCGACACTAAGAGCTTAAATAAAAAGACAAATTGGGAAATGAAGGCATATTCTCATTAACAATACGTGAGATTTACAAAATTGAGGTTTTTACATTCGTACTTCGAAGTAGAACTTTTTCAAGTTGTCTACATTCCAAGTTCTGGGCAGCTACCTACCGTCTGGGTCTTCCAGGCGGTAGGTGCCGTCTCTTACTTCCTCATAGATTCGGTAGGGGCCTTCCCAATTTGGGGTTAGCTTTCCCTGTTCGTTCGTCCTACCGACTGCCTCCATTTTCCGTAGCACAAAGTCCCCCACTTTGAGAGGACGCTTGTGTACTCTTTTGTTGTATGCCCGAGTCATTCTCAGACGGTATATCTCATGACACAAGGCAGCATTGCCCCTGCGCTCTGGAAGTGAGTCCAATGTTAGGCGCATGGCCTCCCAATTCGCCTCTTCATCATACAACATGATTCGAAGGGTCGGCCCATAGTGCTCAATGGGCAGAACAACTTCTGCACCATACACCATTAGGAATGGGGTTTCTCCCATTGCCCCTTTAGCAGTCGTTCTGATGGACCAAAGGACGTGTGGTAATTCATCCGCCCAAAGGCCACCAGCCCGCTCAATTTTCTTTTTAATCCCGTCTGAGATTAACTTGTTGAAGGCTTCGACCTGGCCGTTTGCTTGCGGCAGGCCGACTGATGCGAAGAAGCTTGAGACCCCCTGGTCTCCCAGCCAAGTCTTGAGTTGAGGCGTCTCAAATTGAGGACCATTGTCAAAAACCATAGACATGGGCACCCTGAAACGAGTGATTATGTTCCTCCAGATAAAGGAAATGACGTCTTTAGTCTTGATGTTTTTCACTGCCTCAGCCTCTACCCACTTGGTAAAGTAATCCACAGCCACCAATATATAGAGCTTGCCGCCTGGTGCAGTTGTATATGGCCCCAGAATGTCCATGCCCCATTTGGCAAAGGGTATTGGGCTGTGGATGGCCGTCAGGTCTGTAGCCGGACGATGGATGAGCTTGCCAAAATTTTGGCACTTGTCACATTTTTTCACCATTTCCATGGCATCCGACTCTAGAGTTGGCCAAAAGTAAAGCCGCCTGGCTTTGGCCGCGAGAGATCTGCCGCCTATATGGGAGGCGCAGAATCCCGAATGCAACTCTTCGAGAACTTCCTTCCCCTTTTCAGGGGTAACACACTTCAACAGGGGTTTTTAAAAGCCAGCCTTGAAGACCTCTCCTTGTCGCAACTCGAAGTTAGCTGCTCGTTTTTTAGAACAGCCGCCTCCCGCGGTGAGTCAGGGAGCGTGCCGTCTGCAAGATAGGCCCGGATGCTGTCCATCCAGGTTGAGCTTCGGTCAAGAATTCCAATGGGGTCTTCCTCAGATATACTTCTTTTTTCCATGACCTCCCAAAAGACTGACCGAGGCGTTGAACAGGAGGCGGATGATGCCAACTTGGACAGAGCATCCGCCTGATTGTTTGAAGACCTGGGCACTTGAGTTAGATGAAATTCTTCAAGTGACCCAACTTCACTCTTGACCGCCTGCAAATATTTTATCATGGCCGGATGAGTGGCCTCGTACGTTCCATTAACTTGGAGTACGACCAGTAGAGAATCAGAGCAGGCGGATATCTTCTTCGCCCCAGCCGCATTGCAATACCGGATGCCGGCCAGCAGGGCCTCATACTCGGCCTCATTATTAGACACCTGAAACTTGAACCGTAGTGCGTATTCATACTTATCTCCTTCAGGAGATTGACAGATAATCCCCGCACCACATCCATTCACAGTGGAGCTCCCATCCACATACACTTTCCAAACCTGGTCTGTATTGTCCGGAACAACCGGCCTTGTCATTTCGACAATAAAGTCAGCAAATTCTTGTCCCTTTATTGCCTTCCTTGGTTCGTAAGTAATTTCTAATCCTTGCATTTCAATCGCCCATTTGAGCATTCGTCCAGAAGACTCCAAGGTTGTGAGTGGCCGTTTGATCGGTTGGTCAGTATAGACCTCTACCGCATGCGCCAAGAAGTAAGGTTTAAACTTCTTGAAAGGCCGCCTCTGCATCATCCCCCCATTCAAATTTTGTCTTCTTTTTTATTGCCTGGAAAAAGTAGAGGCACTTGTCGCCTGAACGGCTGCGGAATCTCCCCAGGGCCGCCAGACAACCTGTTAGTTTTTGCACTTCCTTCACAGTACGGGGCGACTGCATGTCGATCACCGCCTGTATTTTCTCAGGGTTGGCCTCTATTCCCCTTTGGTCAATCAAAAATCCGAGAAACTTCCCAGAATCAACACCAAAGACACACTTTTTTGGGTTAAGCATGACCTTGTGCCGCCTGAGTGTGGCGAATGTTTCTCGGAGATCAGCAAGGTGATCCGCCTGCTGTTTGGATTTGACTATCATATCATCAATGTACACCTCTACATTCCTTCCGATTTGATAAATGAAGACCGTATTAATCATTCGTTGGAAGGTAGCAGGCGCATTCTTCAAACCAAACGGCATCACCGTATAGCAGAACAACCCCTGATCAGTGACGAATGCCGTCTTTTCTTGATCTTTTTTCCACAGGGGGATCTGATGGAAACCTGAATAGGCGTCCATGAAACTCATCAGGGCATGTCCGGCTGTTGAGTCGACCAGACTGTCGATCTTAGGCAGTGGATAGCTATCCTTTGGACATGCCTTGTTGAGGTCTGTGTAATCAACACACATCCGCCAAGTTCCATTCGGCTTTTTTACTAACACAACGTTAGCTACCCACTCAGGGAAGTTGCACGGCCGAATGAACTTGGCATCTAATAGCTTTTTTACTTCGGCAGCTGCCGCCTGACTTCTTTCTTCGCCGTGGTTTCTTTTCTTTTGCCGGATGGGCTTCTTTTTAGGATCCACGGCGAGTTTGTGGACAGCGAGATCCGGGCTGATGCCTGGCATCTCCTCCACTTCAAAGGCAAAGATGTCTTTGAATTCCTTGAGCAGCTGGTGAAGGTTTTCACCCAACTTTGCAAAGGCAATCGTCCCCACCTTAACAGTCCGCTCTGGACGACTATCATCCAGAGGGATATCAATGTGCTCACCAGTAGGCTGGGGATGAAGATCATCCGACCTTTCCCCAGTCAGTGATTGCTATTGCTTTTCTTTTTTTACCACCACCAGTTGATCAGTCTTTCTTTTCTTTCCGGCTAGTGGGGCCGACTGTTCTTCCTCGACATCGTCGAGGTCAATCATTTGCTTGCCCCGGCCGGATGCTGCGGCCGCAGGTTTGACGTCTAAGAGATAACACTCTCGAGCCGTCTTTTGGTCCCCATTAAGGGAACCAACTGTTCCATCATCCTTCTCATACTTGAGTAGCATGAGAGCAGGGATGATGACGGCCTTACACTCATTAAGAGTGGGTCGGCCAAAGATGAGGTTGTAAGCCGTGAGCTCTTCAACCACTAGGAAACGGATGGTCATGTGCCGACCGTCTCCCCTGCTTCCCAGGCGGACAGGTAGGTCAATTCGTCCGACTGGGTGCACAAGTCCTCCCCCAAACCCAACTAAGGTGTGGGTGACCTCCATCATGCTATCCGGTTTGTACTTGAGATTGGACAAGATTTTGAGGCTGATGAGGTCAGAGGAACTTCCTGTGTCAATTAGAAATCGGCCAACCAGCTGGTTGGCGACTTTACACTCAATGACAACAGGGTCATCATGCGGCCGACGGACTTTGCCTCTGTCCTGTTCGGTGATGACAACTTTAGGGAAGGTGGATGTGCTAGCTTTATCCCCCTCCTCAACAGAATTGACCATCTTTCTTAGATGGTCCTTGGTACCCTGAATGGTCGGGCCACCACCGGCAAATCCGCCTACTATGGTGTACACCGGTTCTTCATCAG